ATTAATTAATTAATTCATTCATTCATTCATTCATTCGTGTATCCGTCCGTCCATCTCAGACCGGCGGAGGAACATCACACGCTGCCTGAATGCGAGCGCGTTCAAGTTGTTGTCTATGATAAGGAGCCCTCTTCTATCATTGCATACGCCCTCAGGTGTGTGTGTGTGTGTGTGTGAGTGTGTGTGTGTGTGTGTGTGTGTGTGTGTGTATTGTTGGATGTTTGGTTGATTTTTTCCGATCACCTTTATCGTCTTCACCGTCAACAGTTCAAAAGAGTATCGTAAGCAGATGAGAGATATAAAAAACCCTCCACTAAATGATCAGTTAGATGTTTTATTTTTGGTTAATTGAATGAATGAATGGATGAACGAATGATTGATTGATTGATTGATTGATTGATTGATTGATTGATTGATTGATTGATTGATTGATTGATTGATTGATTGATTGATTGATTGGTTGGTTGGTTGGTTGGTTGGTTGGTTGGTTGGTTGGTTGGTTGGTTGGTTGGTTGGTTGGTTGGTTGGTTGGTTGATTGATTGATTGATTGATTGATTGATTGATTGGTTGGTTGGTTGATTGATTGATTGATTGATTGATTGATTGATTCTGGAAACTTCCCAGCCTTAAGAAGAGCCTGAAACTTTCCGACTCTGACGACAATAAGAAGCAAGGCGGTGGAGCCATTCTCTCTTTTCTGAAGTCACGTGACAAAGGACTGATGACGTCATTGACATCGTCATCGTCGTGGGTGGGAGGGACATGTGGAATAATTGACAGGGTGCATTATGTAGCGCACCAAAATGATACGGATGATGAGAAATGTGATTATCTTTTTTCTTGACCTCTTCTGACCTTTTAATTTCAATTGCTGACTTAGTTACTTTATTACTAATAATTTTACTTTCATTAACTTAAATTAACTTTCATTTATTATTACTACTAATAATTTTCACCAAACTTTTACCCAAGCTGATTCTAAAATTCCGTCACCATCTTCAACGTCGTCGCTATCTTCACTAACGACAGCTGCCTGCAAACAAGAGGGGTCCAGTGTCACTAAGTCTCCAACGAACGAGCATATCGAATTACGTTAGTTTAGTTGACTGTTGTCAGTGCGGCTTCGTTTCTAAGGAAATTGAAATTTATGACTATTTTTTAATGTTAGAGCGCTATACAAATGACATTAACACTATCATTCATCCACTGTTAATTAGAGGTATGAACAACGAAGACACACACACAGCAAACACATGCGAATGTACGCACCACACGCATCTCAATTAACTCGTCGCCAGAATCATTGTAAATGTTGACATTTCAGAGTTTTCTGACAGTAACTGCAAGTTCTACTGCAAGGTCCTGTATGCCCAGAAGTTTGAGGAGTTGAGAAGATGTGTTATGCCTGCCGAGGGTGCAGATTTGTTAGTTAATTCGTTCGTTCGTTCGTTCATTCATTGTTTCGTTCGTTTGTTTGTTCGTTCGTTAGTTCGTTCTTATATTCATCCATTCATTCATCTATTCAAACTTTCGTTTCTTTGTTAACACTAGCTATTGTTTATTCGTTCGTTCACCTATTACAAACATTACCAACAAACAAGCGAACAAACGAACGAACAAACAATCAAGCAAACCAACACCACACAGTTTCATTCACTCGATGTCCCGTTGTGTCTCCTGGCTAGCGAGAGGCGGCAAATCTGGATCGAGTTTCTGCAAGACCAGGGGTTCGTGTCCAGACATCTAGTTGTCTTTTCTTCGAAATTTTGCTAAAATTGTTAATAATAATTATGAATAATAATAATTTCTATTATTATAAATATTATTAATTCTAAGTATGAATAATAATTATTATTACAACAGATAATAGATTTATACTGAAGCAGATGTCTCTAAAGGAAGTTCAATCCTTCAATGAATTCGCACATCACTACTTCAATTACGTCATTTCCTCTCACGAAAAACACGTCAGTCACGTGACCCTTTTTTTAATAATAATAATTATTATTATTATAAAATAATAAATATTTATATATAATTATCAACATCGTTATATCGTTATCAACATCAAAACAACCATCAAAGTTTATAGAGTAAAACAATTAATACTAATTATTATTACATAATAATAAATAAACAAAATTATAATAATTTTAATAATAAATTAGGAAGCCAGCTTGTTGGCTCGTGTCGTCGGCGTTTATAAGGTCGGACTGCAAAATGCCAAAACGGGTACATCCCTAAAGCAAGACTTGCTTGTTATGGAAAACCTTTTTTACGCCCACAACATTAAGCAGGTTATTTGTGTTCTTTGTTGTAGTTTTTGTTGTTGTTTGCCATTGTTGTTGTTGTAGTTGTTGTTGTGGTTATTATTGTTGTTGTTGTTGTTGTTGTTGTGGTTGTTGTTGTTTTTTGTTATTGTCATCATCACCGTCGTCATCATACTTCCCACTCAGATATACGACTTGAAAGGTTCCGTGAGAAACCGTCTCATCAACCAGTCTGACAACTGCCCTGAGGATGTAGTGCTGCTCGATGAAAACCTCATCAGAGGTTTATCATTTTAATTTATTATTAAAATTATTATTGTTATTATTCATTTTCTCCTAATTGTTAGCGTAGTGAGAGAAAGAGACGAGACGGAAAGATAGAGAGAGAGAGAGGAGAGAGAGAGAGAGGAGAGAGAGAAAGAATGATGTGTTGTTACTATTATTATTATTATCGTTTTTTTTTTAATTTAGCGATGATGGATAACCCGCTTTATACGCACCCCCACTGCAAACTTGTCGCCATGACCGCCATAGCCAAAGATACTGAATTTTTAGCTAACAATTTGATCATGGATTACTCACTTCTCGTTGGCCTAGATGAGGAGAATGAAAGACTGGTCGTCGGAATTATTGGTTGGTATTATTGTTATTGTTATTATTATTGTTATTATTATTATTATTATTATTATTATTATTATTATTTGTTTGTTTGATTGATTTCTGGCGAGTTTTATGATTCTTCAACATTATCTTCTACATTTTGCACAGATTACATGAGGACGTTTACATGGGATAAAAAAGTTGAGATGATCTTTAAAAACTCATACGGAAGTAAGCAGTTGCTTATAATTAAATTTAATCATAATATAACAATAATTAAATGTAATTATATTGTAATAATAATTAAATGTTATAGGTTAACTGAATTATTTGCAGGTAAAATGCCAACAGTCGTCTCTCCTGACATCTACCGACAGAGGTTTCTAGAAGCAATGGATAGATATTTCCTCATCGTGCCAGACAAGTGGCGCAAGATGGAGACCGTCAAATTGTACAATGAAGCCACATCTCTACCTACGTAATGCGATGATTTTGTCAAGAGTATAGGACATTTTTTATCTTATGTTTGTATTATTATCTGTTGTTGTTGTTTCTATTGTCGATGTCATTTTTATTGTAGTCTTAATAAATTCTTCAAATAACTTACTTACAGGCCATAACATTGCGCGTAACATTATGACACTGATTTGCTTGGGATGAATGAATAACGTATTATTTGTCAATGGTTCATGACTATTTTTCTATATTATATTCTTTTTATATTGTTATTTTTCTTATACATTCTTAAATATTTTTTCCCATTATTTAGAATTATTTCATTTTAAGATAAGCCTTATAAAATCGTACAACTATGCATTATTCTGAATAAATTTTTGTTAGATTTATGGTATGGCCAGAAACTTGACAAAGGTTTGAATTTATTTTTCATTTTGTACGAAAAATTAGTATAATAATTTTTGGTTTTCATTTTTAAAAGCAGTATTGTATGTGTTGCTTCAAAACTTTCAATAAATGTTTATCTGAAAAAAAAATTATGTACTTTCTTTAAAATATTTATGAATAAAAAGAAAATTATTCGATAAAAATTTGAGTAAAATTGAGCAAAAATATATTTAATGTGATTTATACGTTCAATTATTCAAAGGTAATATTTTAAAAACAGAATCGGCCTTCCATAATTTGTAAAAATTGCTCAGTGTTTTCGCACTGATTATCTACTCGTAAGTTTCAATTTTTTGTGAGGATAAATTTCTACGACCCGTAGAGATCAAGATGGCGAACTTTTTAAAAAGTTTTGTATACCCAGGTATACATCATTGTAAAGGTCTTCATCTAGCGACCGTTTCGTTTCAGACGGCTTGCTTTTTTTTTCAGTTTTTAACTTTCGTTTGCTGTGTTCAAATTTTCAACTTTAAAACAATATTTTGACGTTGACAGGGAGCAAGTTGTCTGCTCTGGCCTCCATGGTGAAACCGTCACAACGATCCATCGTCTGCACGGAATCAGGCAGTGTTTTGGAAAAGCCGACTAGGGTTAAATTTGGAGTGTTAAAAGTGCTCTTGGTGGTCCTTCCATCCATTTATGTTGGGGGCATTATGAGCAGAACTGGAGCTCACCTTCTTGAAGAACATGATATTTTTGTACCGGAAAATGATGATGACGACGACTAAAGAAGAGAGAAAGGAATTTGTACAAATTTATCATAAACTGCAACAACGAAATTTTTAATAAAAAATAAAAATAAACTTGGTAAAAAATTATTTTTCGAAGAATGATTTAATATGGTTTAAATTTAAAATCATTATTATATTATATATGAAATGAAGTGCTGTGTGGCCTGCAACAGTTATTTAGTTAAGAATGGTAGTTGTTTGTTGTGGTACAGTAGATTCTAACTAATTTGCCAGTTTGAGTAGTGTCAGTTTTATAATTGTTTCAATTTATGTTCACTAAACTATTAAGAAAATCTTTTTGTGCTTTTAATTTTAGTTAGATAACAGCTGAAATAATTATTTTGTAATTGTGTGAATATTTGTTAACTCCAAGATATAATATCCAATAATTTTTCATTTGCAGCTGGAACAAAGGTGCAACTATGAAATAACTGTATTGTGCTCTCTTGTGCCATAAGCCAATCTTAAACACTATCTAAAATTATTTCAATTTCATCATTTCTCACTCCAGTTATTGTTTTTCTTCTCATTAGTTATTAAGTTGTTATTCACTTTTCATAATTGGTTAATTAACTAATTAATTATTTAATTGATTGTTTGTTAGCTTTCAGGGTGGTCTAGCAATATTCTTATCATTTTTAAGATTTTAGTTAGATCCTCTCAGGTTTGAATGTAGCTGCGGTTGTCGTTATATCAATATATATATATGTGTGTGTGTGCGTGCGCGCGTGTGTGTGTGCATACATACACAATTGTTAGGAAATCCTTTTTTTGTACTTTAAATTTTCGTGAAACAGCATTGACAATAATGATTTTTTTCTAATTGTGTGAATATTACTTAAAACTTAAAAATGGAACAAAAATTTGACGCTTATCTTTATTATCTGTTACATAATATAACAATAAAATTGTTCATCAGCAATGTCAATGTTACTATAGCTCCTCACTTTTCAATAAATCATAAATGAGTAATGCTAAGCCATTTCAGAAAATATCATCAACAGTAATAGAAACACATAGCAACTACAGCATTAATTACATGATACTATCAATAATATTTTAATGTAATAGATTATATCCTAATCCTTTATGATACTAACTATAATATTTTAATATAATAGATTATATTCTAATCTTATTTATTTAAAAAATTGAATTTGTGAATGTAATAATTAGGAGGCAAAGAAAAATTGATTGATGTGAAGCATTCTATTAAAACATTTTTAGCAATGTCCATATTTATTATTATAAATTATATATTATTTATTTATAAATTTGTTATTAATAATTATTATTATAATAAATTAATTTGTTTATTTATAAATTTTCATTTATTGGCCTGGTCCAGAAAGACTCTTGTCCATGAATCTTCTCTTAACAAAACACATCCACCACTATTAATTATATAGATTAAGATAATTTCTAAATTAAGTAAAATTCAATAATTTATAATAAGATATATTATAAATTTATTTATTTGTTTATTAATTAATTTAATTATTTACCTTGCTTGGTTTGTCAGTTTCATCAAAGACTCTGTCACACAATCTCAGACCCATCTCCTGTCTTAACTGCTGTATGTAGGCTCTCATATTATCTGTAACATATTAACTATAATAAATTATAAATATAATTGTAATTCTGTAATATATATTTATACATTTATATATGTATATATATATATATATGTGTGTGTGTGTGATAATTAGGGTCAGTAATTAGGTAAGATTTACAACACAAGTTTATTAAAATACAACTTACTTATGGAATGTTTAATGAAGGTTGAATTAAAAACTAGTTAGACTAATTCAATTCCATCATAAAGATATATTAGTTGATTAAATTTCAATTAGATACATTGTGAGTAAACTTCAAACAACTAATTAAATCTTTAATTAATTAAATTTTTATTAACTAAACAACCTTCTTCGTTTTTGTTGGCAGGCTTGGCATACATTGCATTAAGTGGGAACTGTGCCTCACCGGGCAGGTAGAATCTGGAAATGGCCAGGGACTGCATCTCTTTTAATCCTTCATTCTTCGATTTACACTAGTTAGGTTGAAAATATATTTTTCAAGTTAGGTTTTTAAATTTTAGTCACCTGGAAAATGTTTTACAGATGTGATCACGTAATGTTTATAATGATTCAGCAACTGACGGTACTACGATGTATCATGATATATCCGATATCATGATACATCATAGTACATAGTACGATATCATGATACATTAGTAGGTTGTCACTGCATTATAAGCTATACTGATTCATAAAAATTACCAAACGTATTAAAAGTTTCTAAAAATAAATAATTGAAATTATTTTGAAAATTATTACCTTCTGTAACTTCTTTAAGCATTCAGAGATGTATAATGTCAAGTAGATCAATGTTCTGTCTGCCTCACTCTGTTTTAAATTAATTAATTTAATTATTAAATAATAAATTTTAGAGCTGTTAGACAGCTTTATACAAGAAAAAGCAAAAAATAATGAAAACTTGTGAAAATAGTTTATTTAATTAATTAATTAAAGTTTAAAAAAATCAACCTTAATTTCATAATTTCTGAAAAAGACATTTGCTTTGAAAAAGGACAAGGCTTCTTCAATTATGTCCAAGTCACCAGCTTTAGTATATGGAGATATTAAAAAATTTCATTGAATTAAAAACAATTTTTCAACTTTAAATACAAATTTGGAAAAATATCAAAAAATATAAAACCAAATGTAAAATTATGAATTCAAAATAGAGATGAAACTGAACTTGTTAATATTTTTATTTATTTATTTATTTAACAAATAACTAAAAATTGTAGAAAAAAATGTAAACACTAACATTCCTTTGGGGCAGGTCCCTTGAATTGGGTCTTCAAAGGGAGTAATGCCATATTGCCTACAACTTGTGGTGCATTCACGAACTGTGAGTGATACTTTAAAGAAATTTTTGAAACTTTTTTAATAACAATATATAAATAAAATATGAATATTAATTAAACGAAGCGAGGCCAAATCCAGAGATCAGAAGAGACTGCAAAGTCAAAGTAATAATAATAGATTTTTAACTTATAAAAATCTTAATTAAACACAAAAACTAAAATTTAGTTTTTTATATTTAATTCAGATTTTTATAAGTTAAAAATATAACATAATTTAGTTACTAAAATAAAACTAATGTTATGTTATAACATAGGACACAGGACAGGAATATAACATAATTTAGTTACTAAGACTAACTAACTAACTACTAATGTTATGCTATAATTAATAATAGGACAGGAAGTAATTTTTGAGCAAATATAATTTTTTATTAATATTAATTAAATGATTAAATAAAATAGAATTAAAAATTAATTTAAAAAATAATAATCAAACTTTAAAAAAGATAAAATCAGAAAAAATACCAAAACTAATAAAATAATAAAGAAAAACTGAATTTTAAAAAAAATGAGTGATTAATTAATACTAACGCTGACAGCCATTGAATAATCTTTTTAGAAGATTGAGCAGTCAAACTTGAAAAAAAGTGTATATGACAGAAAATGCCGGAACGAGGACTTCCGTGTTCTACAAATTAGGCTATGGCAGCCCCCTTTCAGTTTTAAACGTAAATAAGATACCACTAACTAACACCACTGATTAATGTACCTTTATTTATTCTACAGTAATCTTTAATTAAAACGTAAATCAAATATTCAAAATTTAATGGAATAAATATTACGGTTTGAAATAGACGAACTAGTAAGTACTGTTAAAAATTCAATAGATTCTAATTATATGAAATGGTTGATTGACACGTTAAGATCTAATTTTACTTTTAAACTTTACACACAATGTAAACAAACAAGTCGGAATAACAGAATGAAGAAAAAAGTTTTTGCTATATGTACGACGGAAAAATTAGTGAATGTTTTCTTTTTTTAATTGTCATTTTTTCCATTTGAATTGAAGAGATGTCCGATTCCTGTGACTACGATCGTTTAAAGGGCCAAGTTATCGGCAACCTACTCCACGCATGCAAGTTGTGGGTGGGCCAAATGAAGCTGAACATTATAGTCGAGGGTCTGTTAGCGATTACTATTGACAAACACATTGTCCTAATTAATATGAAGGAGGCTGTATTCTGTCCAAATCTGTCGATCGCCCACGTGGATGGTGATGGTGTTGTTAGTGAAGGTACTGCAGATAATGGCTTGCCTCATCTGGGGACGCTGAATGATGTAAACATGGGTGGTGGTGTTTCCTCAGACGACATGAACATCATCAATAATTTAGATTATTCTTTCGTCAATCCTTTTCTCGCTAAGAGTGGAGGCAAAACATCATTTAATTATGATGAGGTTGTCAATAATAAAGATGATGATATCCATAAAAATTTAGTGGCCGCCAAACGGATGGCTGATGGTGAGAAAGATAAAAATATTTTAGGTAATAATTTGTTTTTTTTTGTTAAGAACATGTTCTTTCATTTATCATTCTAATTTATTTTTTCTAACTTTGAAAACCAAGGTGCAAATGAATATCACAGCCTGGCTATTGCTGAAATTTCTAGAGAAATAGAGAGAGCAGAGTTTGAAGCAACCCTAAATAACACTAACAATACTTTCACCAGCAACAACAACACATTCAGTGGCAACAACAACACATTCAGTGACGGTAATAACAACAACAACACATTCACCAACAACACATTCTTCCACCATGATGATGAGTTAGAGCAGCTTTTGAACAAAGAGTCTCAGAGACAACACAACAGCAATACAAACACAAACAATCCACATTTTAATGATACTAATGGTGGTTCACTACTTTTAAACTGCAACTCACAAAATCTCATTGACAAATCATTAGTAATAATTTTTTTTTTATTTTTTAATAAAATTAACAAAAATTGTATAATTATTAACTAAAATTTCCCAACTATACCAATCCAGTTGATTATTTCAATCATTTTTCACACTCAAACTCACACACAAACACGTACACAAACACACATCGTTTCCACACTCCAACACACACACACACACACAAGTGCACACACACAGACATATTTTTTCAAAATCCTTAAACTAAATTTGATCCAAAAAGACGAAAGATTTCAATTTGAACTTGGTTGATGCCATGAGTTACTGGAACACCTACCCCATGGAAGATAGTGGGATGTCTGGTGGCGACCTGTGTGAGGGCTATGATGGCATGGGCCCTCTCAACTTGGCAGGCCCTCAAGATCTCTCTCTGGGTCTTACTAGGAGAGTTGATGTATGGTTGTCATACCTGTTTTAGTATCATTGTGTGGGTGAGTGTGTGTGCGTACGTGTGGGTGAGTGTGTTTGTGTGTGTATTTATGACTGTTTGTATGAGTGCATGCATACAATTGGATAGTCTCATCGTAGAACCTTGTTAAATGTGAATTTTTTTTTATAGAAATTCATCTGCAACGGCTGTGGTGTGATCAGCAACACTTCAGAGGAGCACAACTGTGGATGCCAGGAACTCAAAACAAGTTGGGAGTAATCAATCAATCAGTCAACCAATCAATCAGTCAATCAATCAGTCTATCAATCAGTCAATCAATCAATTGATAAGATTAACTCGATTAAAATGTGTCTTTTCTACCAATGAATACATCTATTTTGAAATTATTTAAATAAATCTTTCCAAACTCTACAAAACCCACCCTAACTAACTAACCAAACCCTCCACACCCCCCTTCCCCTACAACCAGCCATCGTGACCTCTGAACCGCTGAACTTGAAGTCTCAACCCCTGGACCTGACGACTGGACCCATCTACCTAACGATGGACTGCACACTTCAGCACCACACACACTCACTAGTCGACCTAACTGAGCAGCCTAACTTGAACTTGACCTGCCTCTGTGGAAAGTTGTGTGCGGATTATGAAAAGTACACTGAACACGTGCTGACCTGCTTCAAGTTGAAGCTGACGCCACACAAAACGTGTGAAGTCTGTGGCAAGTTGCTCTTCTCCCAGTTAGTTTTTTTATATCCGTCAGAATTTTCAGTATTTTTCAATTGTATGTATTGTATGCTTCATTCTGTATACTATTAACAATGTTATACATACATATTATATATGTACACATGTATACATAGTACATACATAATACCCAGTACATACGCAGTGCATACATAGTACACACATAGTCATGTTTAATACATACATTGTAAATATGCATGCACACATTCCTGTTGCTCCATCCCATTACCTCTCTATTAAATTATTCAATTTGACAGCTCAGGCTATATTAAACACAAGAAACAACATGCAGGTTGGTGTGATACCATTTAGAAATATAGGCATACACGCACATACATACACACATACATACACACACGCGCGCGCACACGCACACACAGGAAAGTTTAAGTACAAGTGTCACGTATGTAGCAGAGGTTTCTTCGACCTGACAAACTTAACAACCCACATCGATAGCAAGCATTCGAAGGTCAAAAAGTTTGAGTGTGGCGGGTGCAACAAGTTTTTCTTTTGGAAACATCATCTGAAAAGGCACATTGCCAGCTGTAAGGTCAAGGCCAACTACAGCAACAACAACAACAACAACAGCAACACTACTAACTGTATTATCAATAATAGCAGCATTGATGTTAGCAATAATAAAGTTAAGTCCAAAGATGGCGTTCAAGTTGATGCTACCGGCGTTAATGATGCCAGCAACAACTTTAAGCCTGGTGGAAACAACAACATCAAGAATAATAAGAATAATAATAATAATAATAATAATAAATCTTGTAGTTCTGTAAACAACAATGACGATAGTGATAAGTTTAATGGTGGTAATGCTATGTTGCCATCTGCATTGCCCGCCAATGCCTTCCTAATAACCAACACAGACAACAATGTTGATGGCTCCTTCTATGTAAATCATCAACTCCACGTATCACAACAACAACACTTTCAGCAACAACTTCAGCTGCATCAGCAGCAACTACAACAACAGCAGCTAGGACAACAGCAGCTGCCGCAACAGCTTCAACAACAGCTTCAGCAACAGCTTCAGCAAACTTCATATGAGCGGCCGCAGCTGATATTGACTGATCAACAAATGCTACAACCATCTTACCAGCACTTAAATAGCATCAACAACAACAACGTTCAGCTGATACAGATTCCTATCTACAACAACGTAAACATCAGCAATGACATTAACAACACTCAAAGCAATATTAATGTCAATAATAATATCAATAACAGTAATGATAATAATAATGACATCAGTGACATCACCAAAACTTCTCTTACGACAACAGCAACGTTAAAGATTGTTGATGTCATTTCAAGCAGTAGCAATCAACATTTTTTGCCATTACAGCAACAACAACAACAGCAGCGACAACAACATTTCAATCTCATTAACGCCAATGATAGTCTAATAAATGAAGATCATCGTCCATATTTCAATAATAATAATAATAATAATAATAATATTACTAAGAGTGGTAGAACTAATAGTAGTAGTAGTAATAGTAATAGTAGTAGTAGTAATAGTTGTAATAATATGAAGGGGGATGATAATGCTAACGATGTAAATGATGTTTTTATTGGTAGTAACGATAATTTAAGTAGAATTATCTCATTCCAAACATCATCATCAACATCGGCATCATTACTTCAACCTTTTCTACCATTACCATCACCGTCATTGTCATCATTGTTATCATTGTCGTCGTCGTTATTGTTTCCTGCAACTACTACTATTGCTGTTACTGCTGCTACTTCTGCTACCACTGCTGCTGCTACTACTACTACTACTACTACTACTACTACTACTACTACTACTACTACTACTTCTAATGCATTTATCTACACGCTTCCAACTATTCAGTCTTTAACGCCATCATCATCATCATCATCGTCGTTGTCGTCATCTTTAATTCGATATCTGCCCTCAACATCATTAGCATCTTCTTCGTCATCGTCATCATTATCTTCATCGTCATCTTCTTAATCATCTCATCCTAATAACTATCCTAATAATTTCATAATTGTTAACAGTTTCGTTCTTAAAAAAATTTTGACCGGCAGATTGAATGAACGAATAAACAAATAAATTAAAGAATTAATTATCTAAATGATTAATTAAATGAATGAATGAATGCATGCATGAATAAATGAATGCGTATCATATTTCAGGTTGAATGAATGAGTCAATGGATATATATATCACTCCACATCTCGATGTATTCTGGTTTGATTGGCGCTTATTTCAGCAGTATCGTCGTCTTTATTTTCATCTTTTAATCTTATCTTAATCTTTATACAATGTTTATAACGACAATGTTTAGCCACTAACGTTTATATAACTTTCATTTTGGTGTATGTATATATTCTAATGATGTTAATCTTGCTTTATTTCACCATATATTTACTAATGTATGTATAATTTAACGATACATACACACACACACATATATATACATATAATAATACGGGTATATATGGGTTATATATGTATATGTGAATAGATAAATATATATATATATATTTATTTATTTATTTGTTTGTTTATTTATATGTTAAGATAATAAATGAACCCATTAAGTATTTACGTTTTCTCACTACTTTGAAGTGATTAGTAATTAGAGAATGGGAGAAAGAGAGAGAGGAGAGAGAGGAGAGAGAGAGAAAGAGAGGAGTTGAGTCGTTATTTCTGGTTTTTTTTTTCATTTCTTGTTAAGAAGTTCACTAATGGTATTCGTTTCTCATTAAAAGATTAACATTTTTCTTCCAGGTTAACATCAAAGGATTGACAAGACGCTTGATAACTTTAGCAATAATAGTCAAGACTCTTACAAATAAACTATTATTATTTTATAAAAAAAAAACTTAGAAATCAATTTTTTCTGCAACATTGTCAAAGAAAACCACGAAACAAGAAGCTTACACAGCTGCCCAACTACATCCAACATTAACACAGCAACACATGTTTAACTTGATAACCATTCACAACACAAAATTCATCCTAATATGCCTGGTCCTAACAACTCAGTTGGCTGTAACCGTCAGAATGCTGGGAATGGTGTCAAAAATATGTTTGCAAGAGTTGAATACTGGAACCAAAGATACGATAGAGACGAGTCAAAGTACGATTGGTTCATTGGTTACGAGGCTTGCAAGAGAATTCTCGAAAGAAATGTTAAAAATTTTCATAGAATTTTGCACTTAGGTTGGTGTTTTTAGCTGTTTTTAGGTTGGTGTTTTAGGTGTTTATTGATTTTTTTTTCTATTTTCTATATTAGTGTTTCATCTGTTTGACTATCTTTTGAATGTGATTTGTTGATACAAAATGCTTGATATGACAGCGTTTAATCACGTTGAATTTTGTTATATGTTCTATCTAAATCCATCTGTCTTATTCACACATTCCATTTTACACATCTTACACACGCACACACACACACATCTTACATACGCACACATACGCACACACACACACACACACACACACACACACACGTATAATAATCGTACCCCAGGTTGTGGCAACAGCAGCCTGCCTATCGACATGTGGCTGGATGGCTACAAAGACATCACAAACATGGACTACTCACGAACCGTTATCGAGTCTATGCAGCAAAGAACTAAAAATATGGAGGGCCTCAAATGGATAGTGGCCGACATAAATAATATGACGGGTATATAGATGCATGTATTTATTTTGTAGTGCTAATGTTACATATAAAAAATTCATTATAAACTTATAAATAAAATCTTTTCAAGGTGATGCCTTCCAGTCTGAGAAATATGACGTCATCATAGAGAAGGGTACCCTAGACGCTCTTCTGGCTTCGGAGGTCGACCCTTGGATCTGCTCGCAGGACACGGAAACTATGATGGATCATATTCTTAGGAAAGTTAGTGTAGCGGTCGGTCATTGTGCTATTATAATAATTATCATATTATAATTAATAATAATATTTTATTATATAATATTTTATTCGATGTCAGATAAGTGCCTTGTTGAGAGATGGTGGACGATTTATCAGCATAACGTTTGCACAACCTCATTTTCGCGTGCCTTTATACGCATTGTCACAGTATGGTTGGAGTGTCCGCTATGAAACTATTGGTAGATCTTGGCTCTAATTTATCTTATTTTTTGTGTGTCGTGTTCGTTCGTTTGTTTGTTCGTCGTGTTTGTTTGCCTTGTTCGTCGTGTTCGTTTGTCTTGTTCGTCGTGTTTGTTTGCCCGTCATGTTTGTTCTAAAACAAAATCAATTTAAATCCTCTTTTTAAAACATTCATTGAAATCCATCCTTCTTCAGGCGATCACTTTCACTATTTCTGTTACGTCATGACCAAAGGAGAGAAGCTGGATGACGTCAGCATAGAATATCGAATTAAATACACAGAGAGAAGAGATAGGAAACTTTTTCAGACGGCCGATAATAGAAACGACGATAATAATAACGACAGTGACAACGATGATGAGTTTCTAAGCAGAATTAGCGAAAGCGTGTGATGCCCTGATGATGAAGTTTATATCATTTTCAAAGTTTCTGGAGATCATACCCATTGTTTAAAAGCCTGTCAATAGTGTTTTTACTTCTTAAAAATCTACTCAATACTCTTCCGTGTAATTAAAAATCGAGAATATAGGTAGATATATACGTATATCCATGCAGATATATATATCCATGCAGATATATATATCCATGCAGATATATATATCCATGCAGATATATATATATCCGGGTAGATATATATATATATATCCATGGGTAGGCCACCAATAAAAGCAGATGACGATAATGACGTCAAACGTCTGCTAAATTTGAAACGGTTAAACACAAACTTTTATAAAATGACACAACTATATTAAGATTTATTATGCATAATAAAGCTACCTTTATTATAAAAAATTATAATGAAAGAATATTATGTCCTTGGTGGATACATCAATCTAGGAGATGTAATGATTATGCTTACAAGGAGGTTGTAGTCATAGATCGACCTTCAATTTTTCATCTCTTGCGCCGTGAGTATTATTAATCTTATAATTATTCTTAGTAGCTTCTATATATTCCGGATGATTTCTAACATAGCCAACGGCCTGATTGACAATTCTCAAAAATTCCGTGACGTCAAATGTGTAGTTGGCAAATTTTTTGTGGTCTGAGATTGTAGGGTGCTGGCCCTGATGACGTACGTGATCAGAAAAAAAAATTATCTATTTATTAATCGGCAAGATTTCTAATGTTTTCAAACCAACCAACTACCTACCTACCAAAAAATACATACATATAAACAAACAAACAAAAAGTACATACATACAAACAAAAAAATAACAAGACAAACAAACAAATAACAATACAGACTAACAATGCCGTCTTGATGTAGTTTCGCCACGTCAGTCCATGTGAAATACCTAACACCACGGAGTCTGGCTAGGTCGTAATAACAGTCCTCGTCTTCGCAATTATACCTCAGTTAATTACAAACATAATTAATAATAATTATAATAAATAATTATTATTTCTATTATTATTACAATTGTTAGTATAACTTGGACAACACCACTACCGACCGTTTCAAAGTATTACAAATCTGGAAAAAAAACCCTCACAAAACCCCCCCCCAAAAAAAATAATAAAAATTGAATATATTTATTGGATATATATATCTATATAAATTTATAAATAATCGCAATAATAATATGAATAATAATGAGAAAAGTGGTAATAACAGTTCGAAAACGGCAGCCCAATTAGGTAAGAATAGCAAGTGCGTCAGACCCGCCCCATGCATGCCAATCAGAATGTCAGTGTTGTGGGTTATCTACGATGGTTAATATTATTATTATCATGATTATTATCATTATGGTTATTCTTATTATGGTTGTTCTTATTATGGTTATTCTTATTATGGTTATTTTTATTATGGTTATTTATATTATTTTGTTATTCTTATTATGGTTATTCTTATTATGTTTATTTATATTGTGGTTGTTCTTATTATGGTTATTTATATTATGGTTGTTCTTATTATGGTTATTCTTAGTATGGTTATCATTCTTATTATGGTTATTAATCTTCTTATAATTATTTTTTTTACTATAGCGTCGAGATAATTAATTATACTTACATAATTAAACGTCTCTGTTGAGATTTTCAAAAACTGATTTAATGGATTATAACATGACAGCGTGATGATGACGAAAGAGGTAATATTATTATTATTATTAAAATTATTATTATCATCATCATTATTATTATTATAAATAATATAATTAAAATGTCATAATTATTATTTAATAATAAAACCGACTTTCAATTGATCCGTGAAGGACATCTCACTTGAAGAGAAAATACAGGACAAATTATTAAAATTATTAACAAAAGCAAAAATCTATTATTAAAATAACAATAATAATAATAATAATAGTTAATAAAAAATAATAAATGATAATAATAAATAATTAAAGCAAGTAAATAGCAGTGGCATTAGCAATAACCGTGAATATCCAACCAATGTAGCTACGACGCCTGGCTGGTTGTTCAGGGCGGTTATCAACTTGAAAATAATAAATAACAATTAAATAATAGTAATAATAATAATAGTAAAAATAATAATAATAGTAATAATAATAATAGTAAAAATAACAATAAAAGTAACCTACCTGAACTTCATTTAGCACTCTCCTATGCTTCGTCTGCCTTGATATCATTGTAATTCTAATCTTACGGTCCTGATAATGATGAAGAAGATGATGATGATGATAGTGATAGTGAAGATGATAATGATGTTAATATTGACGACGATGATGATGGAATTCTTAGTGATGATGATGATGTTGCAGATTACGATGATAATGAACGATGGTAATTAAGACGCTAAAGACGACAACCATGATGAAGACCTTGGTAATGATGCTAAGTATAGATGCCAAGGACTTTGATAATGATAAATATGATGATGATGATGACAGTAGAAAATGATGATAAAGATGATACCTATCATACCTTAGTATCTCGTCTGATATTTAACCTATGAAGTATATGTTCTGAAAAAGCTCTGAATAACGACGTACCATGACAACCTGGTATCTATATATTGTATTGGAGTTTTTTTTCTGGAGTTATTTGATTTAGGTATTATTTTGGGTATTGAAATATCAAAATAACAACCAGAGGCATGTTATAATAGAGTCCGTACATCATTCTCGGTAGAAGTGGGAACAGTGCGTCTTCGATGCATAGCTGTTGGTTTGAATGGTTGGAGGAGTAATTGTACTGAATGATTGGTTGGTTCATTGATTCAATGATTGATTGATTCATTCACTAAGTCATTCATTCATTCATTCATTTATTCCTCAATGGTCGATTGATATAACGTTTGATAAATATAGCACGCTTAACCGTTCAAATGAGTGATTGGTTGACATGTTAGACACGGCCGACTCATAGGTTGATTGATTGATTGATTGATTAATTGATTGATTAATTGATTGATTGATTTGAATAGAAAAAAGTTCTAACAGTTTTTCCAGCGAAATCATTGAGATACAGCAACGGCTTGTTACTGAAAGCTTTCCAAGTTGATTCGAAGATGTCCATATAGTACATGTCTGACTGTCAATGTTTTTACTCGTCCGTATGTATATAAGTGATTGGATGAGAAGATAAACATATAAAAGAGTGCAAGGAACAAACAATGAAATGAAAGAATGAATGAAAATCAAAATGAATGAATAAACGGATGAACAAATGAATGAATGATTGAATAAATGAATAAAAAAACGAATGGATGAATGGTTGGATAAGTAAATGTGCTAGGTAAAAAAAATAAGATTATGACTTAATGAAAGAACGAATGAACGAACGAAAGAACGAATGGATGGATGGATAAAAACACACACACACACAAAATACCTACACAGAATACACGTAAATACACAATACACACACACACACACGCACACGCACGCACAGTGTCCCAGATGATAATCTGAACATCGGTGCCGAATGAACTGTTGATGTGCTGTGAGGCGTAGAGATTCAGGAAATCACAGAAGTGATGGTACATGTTTATACCTAGTAAAACAATAACTTAACCATAAACATTATTATTATTATTATTATTACTATCATTGTTATTATTATTATTGTTGTTCTTGTTATTACAAAATACGATGATAATAATAATTTAAATAAAATAAATAGTAGTAATAATGGTGAAGTTATTTTGTACCTGCATCAAGTTTCATGAAGAAAGTGGGCTCTCTGATGGAAGCGTCACACCTATCTTTGGATTCCATAGCATTGAAGTTTAACTGGGTGAAATCCTTCAACTCTGAGAACCTGAGAATGAATGATAGAAAGAGAGAAAAGGAAGATAAGAAAGAACGAATGAATAATTTAAAGAGTGGATGGATGAATGAATGGATGGATGGATGGATGGATGGATGGATGGATGGATAGATGGATGGATGGATGGACGGATGGACGGATGGATGGATGGATGGATGGATAGTAAATAAATGGATGATTGAATCAACGATTGTATGAAAAAATGGAAAAAATAAAAGAATTAATGGATGAATGATTGATTGATGAATGAATGAATGAATGACTAGATGAATAAATGAATTGATTAAATATATAAATATAAAAAAATTCAACTAATTAAAACATCTGTAAAAACAACTTTCACATCAAAAACAGCCTCACTAGTGGCCACCCACCACGATGATAGTGCCCCCTTCTGAGACCCCATAGATTTAATCAGAGTTTGATTGACAGTACAATCGCCGCCCAAATCTCCCGGTTTGAATACATCCTCTTTGAATCTGAATTAAGGATGGATGATCCATGGTTGATTGGTTGTAAGTTACAATTAGGAAACACAAATGGTTCCATAGGTTTTAATTAATTTTGATAATTGCCCGTTAAATTTGTGAGTAATGTTTGTTAAAATGTTAACTAATTAGATTAGATAAAAGAGAATTAAATAAATTTAAATTAAATTAAAATATTATATGACCTGTTGTTGCTGTTGACAAAGTCGACTTGTTTTAAATTGATGTAAATATTTCTGGCTTTACAATACCTCATATGTTTAGAGCAATTTAGTGAAGAGCCTTCCTTAATTTAAGAATTTCCACTACTTAGGTAATTAATTATTTCAATTAATTTTTATTAAAATTATAAATTAACTATCATTTTAGAGAAACTGATCAAAGAATTCACTAATTCATTCGTCCATTCATTTAAAAAAAAAAGTGTTTTTCTGTTTAGTGAATTAATACAAATAAAATGGCACAAAATGGCAGAAAGGTTTATAAATGAACCTTTTTATTACTTTGGCAAATGGAAACTAATTGATTTTTTTTCTTTTTTATGTAACCAAAATCAGCAGTCTTCCAAAAAAAATCTTCTTGTTCTCTACCTGATAAACCCCTAATTTGTCATTCAATTACTTTTTGTAGTTGTTAATGTTAGTAAGTATACAATATTATGTACACACACACACGCACACACACACATATATATATATAATATGTATACACATCATTGTAAAGCCACAAAGAGAATATTATTATTTAGAAATGTTAAAATTTAAATTTTAAAAAATCGAACCACGCTGGTTCGTGGCATCTGTGATGTTTTACCACATCTTCATCTCTGCAATCATCTTCATAGCCCCAGCAACTTTTTTTGTCCACCTGATTCTTTATTAATTTAAATTTGAATTGAATATTAATTATTAATTATAAAACTTATTTATTTTATTTTAATTATTTTATTTATAAAAAATAATTAATAATTTATATTTTATTTGTGAGGACAGAACTGACAATGATTTAATATTATGTTTTTGTAATTAATTATTAAATTATGTTGTATTTATGTTTATTATTTAAAATAAATTTATTAAATAAATTAATTATTAAATTAAATCTTCAATTTTTTAATTTATTTAATTTTAATTAAGAAGCTGTTGGAGTTTCAGCTTATTTCTAGCAATAACAACCAAAGAAAACAATCTTACTAACTAAATACTGACAAGATATATCTTCTAAACACTCCCTCTTAACATGAGGATGGCTATTTAAAAATAAAGCAATATGATTTTCTGGCAAATTCAAGTTAGGTATCATACATTTGGTTAAAAAAATTACATATTGATTCAAAATTGACAAAATAAAATAGAAAACAAAAATGAAAGACATGATTTTGGTATATCAACTGGCCTCTATCTAAATAGCTAATCTAAATTACAATTAATAACCTAATAAATCTAATTAACCCATCTTATTTTATAATTATAATTTTATATAGCCGTCGTAGGATTCACTTTTAAAAATATGTGAAAAACTAAGTTTAGATCGATATTGCAAGTTCGACTTTTTTATATTTGTTTTTTATATATTCTTATTCATACATGTACGCATATATATATATATATATATATATATATATATATAATATAATTTAATAACTATAAACATAATATAATTTAATATATAGTTGTATTCTTTATATATGTATGTACGTATTCAACTGTTAATATTATTGAACTTATATAGTTCAGTAGTTAATATATATATTGCATACTTTCGCATGTACTCATTAAGATTTAAAAAATTTTACATATTTTACAACTTGTGTGGTGTTATCCAGATAACATACGTGTGTTATATTTTCAAAAAGAACACAATTACAAAAAATGCAAGTATAATACAAAAAACACGCATATTTTGTCGAACTAGCAACATGTTTAATGATACAAATCTTCCTTCTTTCTCGTTCCTTATCCTTTCAGGACATATAAGCACGTACATGATGATCATAAACTATCAACATATCGAAGGGAGGACCAGCCTTGACATTTAAAAAACTTTTTAATTTAATTTCATTGCGATATTGATGATGATGATGATTGTGACCTAACTATAAAAATGCATCACGAAATTTTTAACTATTTTATTTAAACACTCAACGATACGGCGGGGATTGTGATTCTACAAAAACGTGGCGTGGTACTGATGATGATTCTTATATATATAAACATATTAGTCAGATCTGAGCTGAGTTATTTGAACATAGGTAAGCTAAGATCTGAGCTAAGTTAACTGGAACATAGGTAAGCTATGATCTGAGCTGAGCCAATTGAACATAGGTTAGTTAAGGACTGAGCTGAGCCAATTGAGCATAAGGCAAGTTAGGAATGAGCTGAGTTAATTGAACATAGGTAAGCTAAGATCTGAAAAGTTGTACTGTAAAAATACTTGATCGGATCAAATAAATTGCTAAAACGTCAAATTGATTGTGATTACTAAATGAAGCAACATAACATCATCTCGAAACTAATGATCATAATAAAGCTAATTTCTAATCAGAATCATTCATTTATAAGGAGTTTTAATCATTGGAATAATTCATCACAACTCCTTTTTACCGGCAAATCCACCATTCAATCGACCATTTTCGTTAGTTTTGACCAAATTTTCAACTGCCGTGACATATTCTGGATGGTTTTGTACAGTTTCTATAGCCTTATTCACAATCCTGACAAATTCTCCCACATCTATACTGTAGTTGTGAAACCTAAGAAAGCCGTATACAGATGGATGTGAGGTCTGTAGGTTTTGTAATTAAGTAATTTTTTATTAATTATTATTATTTATTTATAATAATTATTATTATTATTTATATTATTGTCACTTTATTATTTAAAATAACTATTAAGGTATATTGTTTTAGATACAAGTTGATAATGCGAATAACAAGAGTTATAGTATAGGTATTTCAATTCTCGAACAAACAAATAAAATAATATTATCACTTTGAGAAAAAATTATTATAACCAGTAGCCTATACTAATTCCCACTCACATCTGGATATATCTTAACTTTATCTTTATCTTCAGTGGTTAAGTGATTGACACCACGGATCCTTGCTATGTTGCGATACTGTCCTGATTCGCAGTTGAACCTAAACGTGAAATTTTTTAACATTCATCGATATAAATGATAGCATGACGGTAAAGTTTCAGTCAGTCTAGTGTTCTGCAGATTACAAAGAGAGACATCACGCCTTCATATGCGTAATTACTTAATACGCTGTGATTGTCGCTATTCATTAAAATTATTCACCTACTATTTTTTGTTATTATTTTATTATAATTATTATTATAGTTATTATTAACTCAATATTATTATTATTCATATTTTTTTCCATTATCACCAACAGCTCGTAGACTGTAGCCCAATTTGGTAGAAAGAGTGAGTGTGTGAGCCCAGCTCCATGTATGCCGATCAAAATGTCTGTATTGTGAGTTATCTGGAAGCGTTTTATTACAACATAGGCATGAATAAATTTTGAAATTATGCTTTTTTATAGTACAATAAATATGAAATTATTTATTATATTTTATTATTTCAATATATTCATTATTATTTTCAATATTTCAATTATTTCAATACTACTGTTTAGTATATCTCAGAGGCACCGAGAAAGAACCGCACAGTGCAATATAAATACATGTGGATCAAGGCATATTCCGTATGATAACCATGGTTTTTTTTCAATCTTTAACCTCAAGGTTGTAAGAAGAGAAAATTTTAAGAAAAAAATATATACGAAAAAAACCGACTAACTTTCAACTGGTCAACGAATGGCATGTCACTTGAAGGAATTTAAAAAGAAAGAATTAAAATGGAAAAATGATAATATAAATAATAATATAAATAGTAATATAAATAACAATATAAATAATAATACAAATAATAATAATAGTAATAATGTTAATAATAATATATAATAATAATGACATACGTGTTATAGTCTATAAGTATCGCTTGCACGTTCGGTAGCCGACTAATTGATGCTATTAACTATAATAATAATAATTAAAAACTAATAATTTAGCAATAAGAATGGGCGAATGATATAAATAATAATAATATTTCTATATATTTATGGAGAATTTTTAAGAGAGCTATAAAATAATCATAACAAAAACAACCTCATCTTCATTTGTGGTGACTCTACGGCTCGCCTTTCTAGACAGCATCGTTATTCTTATTTTCCTACCCTTATCATAATTGTTATTATTATTATTATTATTATTATTTATTATTATTATTATTATTATTATTATTATTTATTATTATTATTATTATTATTATTATTTATTATTATTATTATTATTATAGTTATCATATTTCAGTGAAATGAAGATAATGAGTGATTAATTACGACGATGAAGATGGTGGTGGTGAAGATAATAACGATAGTTATTATCATGTTGTAATAACCTTGCTGTAGTTGTAGTGATTACGTCATCAACAACAACTACTACTACTACTACAACTTCCACTACTACATCAACAACAGCAACACACATCAACAACAACACAACAACGGTTTCATTCAATTAATACTTAGTACCTTTAAATCTTGCGTCACTCCCAATCTGTGTAAGGTATGCTCGCTAAAGGCTTGTATAAGAGCGCTACCCATGCAGCCAGGCATCTTAAAAAATATAAATTAAATTAAGTTGAAAATAAAGAAAAACGAAATCTGATACACTAATGATTAAAACAAAATTAGAACAAAGTTTGAGACACATTTTTTAATAATTTTTATAGGATTATTGGTTTTTTTTTCGTTAATGTTGTCCTATTTAGGTACGTACCAGCATCATATGGTAGTAAATACCAAACAACATTTTGGATGGGAATGAAAAAAAGACATCTTTGAGGCATATCTGATTTGAAATTTTTAGATATTTAAAAAATTTAAATTAGTATTCATGAGATATTTTTATTTTAAAAATTGGCCTAAAGTTAATAGGCAGTAATAAAAATGGAAATTTATAAAAGTAATGATGAAAAATTTACCGATTTCCCAGCGAATTGGTTCAGTTGTATTGTCGGTTTACTTGTAAAAACTTGAAACATCGTTTTAAAGTAGTCCACATATGTCGCATTTGACTGTCGTAATATTTGGGTGGATAAATATTTTTAAATATAAAGACATCATAAATGAAAATACAGTTAAAATTAATTGAAAAAAGTGAAAATTATATTTCACAAAAATCCTCACGGTATCCCAGAAGATAATTTGGACATTGGTATCAAACGAGCCATTCAGATGCTGTGATTCGTACAAATTTACAAAGTCAAGAAAGTGATGACACATATTATGCCCTGAAAGAGAATTTATTTATTGCGGATGTAGTGTTGAAAAAAATTGTAAAATACATTGATTTGGCAGTGATTGTTGTAAGAGTAACGATGAAAATCTTGTAAAACAAAACATTGGTAGGTATGAAATGATTAGTAGTTAAAAAATTGAAAAAAATAGCACAATATCATTGAAAGTAATTAAGAAGTATCAGATGAAACATGCAAGAAACGAACTTTATAACGAATAAAAATTAACAAATACCTATGTCAGGTTTCATAATGATGGTCGGCTCATCAATGACAACGTCACACTTCTCCGTTGACTCCAACGGGTTAAAGTTCAATTCTGAAAACCCTTTTAACTCCTCGTACCTTATTGTTATTATTGTTTTATTATTATTAATATTATCATTTTTATTATTATCATTTTTATTTTTATACCAAGACGATAACGACTGCCGATGTGATCCGTTCGTATATAACAAATTAGAGTTAACAACGCAATCACCTCCAATGTCTCCAGGCTTGAAAATGTCTCTTTGAAATCTGTCGTCATAATTAGTGTTATAATTATTATTATTATTATTATTATTATTATTATTATTATTACTGCTGCAGCTACTGATATTGCTACTACTGCTACTTTTACTAGCACTACTACTACTGCTACTGCATTAATACTACTTATAAAACTACTAATACTATGTAATAGAATCACACACACAACACACACACACACACACACACACACATAAACACATACATACACACACACAACCTTTCAGTACTGTTTGTAAAATTGACGTTTTTCAAATTGATGTAGATATTTTCGGCTTTGCAGAATCTCATGTGTTTAACGCAGCGCAAAGATGATCTAAAAACCTTGGTAGTGTCATTTTCAAAATATTTGTATGAACGTATTTGCAATTTTGAAAAGGTTTTTGATAGAATAGTTAATAATTAAATAATTAAGCGGTAATTTACTGATGAAATGGGAACAATAAACTTTCTATGAACCTTATTTTCGTTCTGACAAGCGTAGGCCAGTTGATTTTTTTTCTTTTTTATATAGCCAAAATCGGCGGTCCTCCAATAAAATTCATCTTGTTCTTTACCAGTAAAATTCCTAAAAAATTAGGTTAACTTTTTTATTACACGAATAATTTAATTAGTATTTAAACTTGGTTATTATTATTTAATTAGTCATAATTAAAATAAATTAGATAGAATAGATGGATTAATAAGTTTGATCGTAGCAGGTCCTAGTAGTAGACAACCTAGACTAGAGAACGATATAAAGTCGTTATTTGCATAGCAACAACCATATAGCCCATCATTTTAATTATCATAATAATAATAATAATTATTATTATAAAAATAATAATTATTAATATAGTTATGTATGATGTGACCACCATCCAGGTTCAAAACATTTGTGTCGTTTGATGATGTCAACTTCAGAGCAGCTATCTTCATAACCCCAACAAGCTTTTGAAGTTACGTGCTTCTGAAAAATGTTTTAAAATTGACAATATTAATTAATGGTAAGTAATAATTAATAATTTAATGGGTTTTATACAAAAGTCTTCATATATGATTGTTAATTGGGGAATATTAACCAAATATGGACAGGATTCATTCTCTAAGCAGGCCTTTTTGACATCAGGATGATTATTTAAGTAAGGCGCGATGTGGTTCTCTGGCAAGTTTAATTCAGATAAACGATCATTGCAGTTTGAAAATTTTACTTTGAAGTTTATTAGAATTATAAAATAGCAGAAAATATGTGTATGCATTTTACTAAAGATGTGCAATTGCAATTCATCGGCTTTGTGCTTAAAGAAACTAACACATTCATTGTTATTCTCTTAACATTTCTATTCTGGCTTTTCAAGGCGTTTTAACCATTGTAAGCTTTTAATGAATGCATTTGAATGAAGCGAATCATTAAGGTACGTATGCATATATTCATATATATACACAACAATTAGGATATATGCGTATATATCATTAAATAAAAAACATTTAGCACTTATTGTTTTGCATCATAATGTTTTATGGATTTATACTTGATTAAAACTAGTAAGATGATTCATTTTTGCATAAAAGTAAATTAATGTGTCACAATAATCTGCATAATTTTAGTTTTGCTAAGAGAAACAGAGTTCAGTTTTTTAACTTATTATACAGCTAATGTACATCGTATAACATTTTGCAATATAGGTAAATATGAAGCTCTAGAAAATTCAAAATTATTCTGCAATTCTCTATTTAAGCTTCCGTTTAGCTGAATGTCGGGATTGTTATATTTTTTAGTTTGAAGTTTCCCGATTTCATTGAAAACTAATTGAAAACCATATTTAGATTTGTCTATTTAGTGCAATTTGAACATCTTTATAGCGTGTGATTGTATTTATATTTTATTGTTATATTATATATAAAGAAATAATTTTTTGTGTGAGATGACAGCTCCTGGTGGCCTACCCAGGCGTATACTGAAGGTTGGGCAATTCTGAAATTTTCATTTCATTTTGCTACAATTTCTTCAATTATTATGTATTTAATATTGTCATAATTCAAACAATTCTGGTTTGATTGGAGTCGGGAGTCAAATTAGTGTGAATAATTGATGGGTGTTGGCAGTAGAATAGAGTAGAGTAGAGTAGAGAGGTTCTAATTATTTTGTGCCAGGCTGTAGGTAGATGATTTGAGTTTCGTTAAAAAAACCCAAAGAACTCAATTTTTCCAAATCCTTATTTTCCAAATCTTAACTTGTTGGTCAGTGGAGAAAATGTTTGGTTAAGATGGTCTGACTTGACTTTCCCTCCTAACTGTAACAAACAATAAAAATGAAAAAGTTAAGTGCTAAGTAAGTTTGAAAAGTAGTACATCACCTATGTGGTTTTGATAGGAGTTAGTGTAATGGTGTTATTATTTTACCATTTTCACATGACTACCTACCATTATTTTAGTTTCAACTTTAAGATCATTACATTACTTTGTTATAATTTGTACACTAATTTATTGAAATTCTAATCATAGGAAACTCAACGGTTGAAAGCAGAACCTGTCCCAGGAATAGAAGCCACACCTGATGAGAACAATGCTAGATATTTTCATGTCATTGTAGTTGGTCCCAAAGATGTTTGTCTCTTTTTTAGCTATTATTTTCTGTTTAATAAATATTCAGAGTCTAAAATATTTTTGAAAATGTGATCATCAGAGATAATGATTTCTTCTTCGACAGTCTCCGTATGAGGGTGGGGTCTTCAAGTTGGAACTCTTCCTACCAGAGGAGTATCCCATGTCAGCACCAAAAGTCAGATTTATGACAAGAATATATCACCCAAACATAGATAAACTAGGAAGGATTTGCTTGGATATTCTAAAAGGTTTCTAGAGAAATAAAATCTCTTTAAATTTTGCAATTTGAACAAATTGCATTTTCAAGTTTTAAAATGTTCTGTAGTATGCAGAAAAGTGTGACTTTTTTATTTCTATGTTTTGTACAAATTTTCGCTACCATGTTTGTGTCAAAAGTAAATATTAACATTACAAATTTTAAAACAACCCAGAAAAATGGAGCCCCGCCCTACAAATTCGTACAGTGTTATTATCAATACAAGCCCTCCTGAGTGCACCCAACCCTGATGATCCTCTAGCCAATGATGTCGCTGAACAGTGGAAGGTCAACGAGGCTCAAGCCATTGAAACTGGTTAGTGTAATGTTGTGTAAGTGTAATGTTGTGTTGGTGTTTTTTAATGTAAAGACTTTGTAGTAATAATATTGATGTTGAAGCATTTAATAGGGATAATAACAATAGTAGTAATTATAATCTGTCAATAATTTTTTATTTAAATTCCTTTCTAGCAAGGCAATGGACACGGAGATATGCCATGTGATGATCAATGCATGTCATTAGTTCCATGTAAATTTAAATAGTTTAACCGAAAATTCGTTTTTATTGACAAGTTTATTATTACAAATATTGTTATTAATAATTGTTTGTTTGTCTGTCTGTTTGTCTGTCTGTCTGTCTGTTTGATACTGTGTGAGCCCATTAAATCTTAGGAGATAACTTTTAAAACGAATAAATAAATTAGTTTTTTTTCCATCTGAAATGATGGTTGCAGTGGTGATGTTGATTATGTGACGATGATGATGATGATGAGGGTGATGTCATTTTAATAGCGAGGCTATAAATAAATTATGATGACGACGACGACGATGATGAAGGTTTTATTGCTATGAACATTTTATTACCTTACGTCTTCGTAAGTACTTTTTTTTTCATTGCTTTAATTAATGTAGCCACATTTTCTATGTTGATAATGACGATACACCGTTTATATGCATAGCATATTCATACATTTATAATACATATTACACTTAAATATTCAAACTTTCAGTCACTATATTAATAACGTTAATGTTGATTTCGTCTCACAAATAAGTTTTTTGGTACAACGAAATTTAGTTGCTAATGTATTCATCATTAATCTTAATTACTGTTAATTATTATTATTTCATTTGACTAACATTTTGTTATCGGTTATTTTTGAATACATCTACAATAAAAGGCTAAAATTAAGGATGGAGTTTTCTTGTAAGAAAGGAACATATCTTGTATAAACAAGTGCAAGCCGTTTTGTGTTAAGACCTAGGGTTTTCAACAACCTCTTCCAATTTAGGTGCGAAACAACGTCTGAACCTTTTCAAATATTTTGTTACTAATACATTTTTGTTCGTGTATATGTGCAATATTTAGCTCGGTAATATGTGCTTAGTGATGATATGTTGTGATAATTGAGGACAATTTGTAAAGGCTTAACTTTTAATCTAATTTTCAATACCTTTGTTTATTGTTCTTTGGTTGTCAAACCGCTGTTGCCATGTTTAATCTATCTTCGCCTATTAGTTGTTCGTGATGATCTGTCGATCAGTGTTTGGCTGTTTGCAAATAATTTTTTTTCTATGAAAAAAATTAAAAATTTGATATATAAAAAGCATTTGATTACATTTTGTAGTTACCTCGTAGGAAGAGTTTTTAGTTGGTTGAAAGAACATTGAAATAATAATATAATGGATGCTACAAATCCAGACCAAGAGAGGGTGAAAAAATTATTGCATGACACTGTTCTGATGCTTTGTAAAAGTGGTTTGAAATACAAAGAACAATTAGAGATCAAAGGCGTAATTGGTATAACAATCGACAAAAAGGATGTTGTGATCGTTCACATTAAAGATCTGCACATCACTGGACCTGGGTCTGCTGAAATGACTCAGCAGGTGTCATCCTGTACTATGGCAGACGTCAGCGTGACACCCACTAAAAGAATCAAAACTGAAAATTTTTTAGATGATCAGTCGTATGGTGGGGCCATGCCTTCAGTTACTTCCAATGTTAAGTCTAATAGTGATGCTTCGTCAGTTTTATTTTTTACAGATGATCTTGACAATCAGTCCAGTTTGTCTTCATCTCAGATTTCGAATGCTGATGTGAAACCTAGTCAGTGGGCCTTAGCCATTCCTCAAGCCAAACCTCAAAATACTAACAACCCTAGCAACTACAACAACTTCAACAATAATGTGAACATGAACATTCCAAATAACAACATTATGTCACCTGGTATCGTCACTAATAGCAGTTATCCAACTGCAAACCAGATGGTTAGAGCGAAAGCACCAGTACAACTACAACATCCACAACAACAACAACAGAGGTTCAACACAAATCAGATGGGGGTATGTTATATTACACATCTCTTTTTACTAGATTCATCATTTTTTATGTTACATCTTGAAAATTAAATACAAATATTCACTAACAATTCCAGATGTCACCAATGACGCAGACACCCCAAAAGCAAATGGCCCTGATGACACTGACTCCGAGAAAAATTACTCCATTAAAACAGCCACCAATCAAGCTACAGCAATCACCATACCAACAACAACCACAGCAGCAACAGCAGTCTCTATTCCAGCAACAATTCCCGAGCTACCAAGACCAGCAGCAGTTCATGTCATCCACCCCACAACCACGGGGTAAGGCGCGAGGCAGTCGAGGTCTTTTATCGTCAGTCAGAGGGAGAGGAGGGAGAGGTCGAGCTAAACTTTTTTCAATGGGAGATGATGGAATGGGCATGATGATGGGAAGAGCTGGAGGAGGATTGGGAGGAAAAATATCTGTTGAAAATAAAACCATTGATGATTTTTCATACGACAAAGAGACAATAACCCACTACAAATGTAAGCTATGTGGCATGTCATACACATCACACAGTGGTCTCCTAACCCATCAGGTTAAGTCACATGGCCGACAAAAAAAAGCAGGCGTTGGAAGGAAGCCGAAAAATTACAACAACGAAGGATTTGATGATGACAACCAAGGATTTAGTGGTGGTGGTGCTGGAGATGGATATTTTGAAGATGATTATGGAGATGATGGGGATTTTGATCAGGATTATTATCCCTGATGAGTTTGTGTTGGTTTTGATGCTAGCTGACCGGTTGATTAATTAGCTGGTTGATTAATTAGCTGGTTGATTAGTTGGTTGGTTGGTAAGTTGTTGAAATGTTGTTTTTTGACAAGTTAATTATTGCCTGTTTTGATAAACTGACTGATTTTTAACAGACTTTCTTGTTTATTTCTTTTTTTTATTTTTTTGCTAAATTCGTTTCCAATTTTTTATTCTTTTTTTATTCTTATGTTTATTAATTGCACAAAACTGACTGGTTTTTAGGAAAAAAAAACTCTTATACATCTGTCGTGTTCTGTGTGTATATACAGTGCAGACCAACTTGCTGAAAATAATTGTTTGAATAATATTGAATGCAGAAAAAACTATGTTATTGTATATGTATATACTGTGTCTTTCTAATGTTACTGATTGTTTTTCATTATATTATTTTATCTCTATTTGTTATTTTAATGACGTAAGAAGATAATTAAACAATTAATAAAAATAATTTTGAATTTATTAATTTAAACCACATATTGCATGTAGCTGTCTTGGAAATATTTTGCATGGTGACTGATATAGTTTGCAGGCTATTAATGTTTTTTAAGTTGAGAAGAAGAATTACTAAAACTGTTAGCTTTATAAGTTACTGGTTGTTAATATTATACTAATAGATACTAGATAGTATTATACTAATTGACTTTAATGAAGTTAAAGTTTTTTAACCAGAGTTTGATTTTATATATGTTGAAAGAGACCTTATTTTATACAGTATTGTATGAATTCTATCGGATATATATGTGCCTGAGTGTGTGCGTGTGCTGAACGTCAAACGTCTCTTTTTGAATATGAAAAGTTATCCGTTGATTTGTGGTCTCTCTTTCTCTCTCTCTCTTTTTCTCTCTCTCTCTCTCTGAAATTTACTTTAATTGAGGATTAGGTTCTTCATTCATTAATCCATTCATCCATTTATTTAAACATTCATTAGTTCATAATTAATTAATTTAATAATTCAACTCACGAAGTTACAGACAAAATAATGTTTTTTTTTTGCTTGAAAATGAAAGGATTGAGTAAGTTAGTCAGGTAATATTAATAATAATAATAATAATAATAATAGTAAATGATAATAATGACAATCGGTATAGTAATGTTCAATTTCCTAAATTTGCTCTCTGCACACAGCAAGCATACAGCCTGTACGTCATAGTGTACACGTGCGTAAGAATGTACGCAAATGATATACATACATACACACATACATACACTCACACACACGTACAAACACACATACATACATACACACATCCGAAAATAAATGCAAACACTCGCATAAAATTGTCAAAATAGAATGTAAATTTACAATACCAGGTAATAGACAATAGTGTATAATACATATATATATATATATATATATATATATATATTTATATAATTACAGTTGATTAAAATTATATTTAAAAATCGATTAGTCGGTTTAATTCTGAACTAACTGTAATTCGTTAATTACGATATCGGTAATTAAAATTATTATAATTATAATTAATTCATAATATAGTATACATCTTCTGAGCAGTAATATTAAAAGCCTGACAACGGCAACGATGATGACGACAACATAATGACGATTTAATAGCAATGTGTAAAAATATGATAAAGTGATGTTGATGATGAAGATGATGATGAAGTAATAATAATATAATATTAAATAATAATTATAAAAATATAATAAATGGTGGTTATAATGAGAATAATGTATTCAAGACTTCGTAGCGTTTCGCCTAGCTATTGGTTGGTAGATTGAGTGATTGAATAAGTGGTCGAATGTTTGAGTGGATGAATGATTGAGAGGATGAATGGTCAAAGCGAATGATTGATTGGTTGGTTGATGATCGATACGATGATTAACTGACTGGTAGATCTGTGTGTGGGTTCAAAGATTGATAACTAGTATTTGACTGATTGATTTGTGATTGATCGATAGATAGATTGATTGATTTGTGATTGAGGTATTGATAGATAGATAGATTGATAATAATAATGATTGTATCGGCATCTTAAACGAATGTATCATTCATGTAATATTATAAACTCACTAGCAATCTATTAAACATCATATATTGAATATATTAACACTTTTAAAAAAAAGATAATAATTATTATTTAGTATTATTTCTAGATTTATAACTAATTACACCTTACGTATTAGTAAAAAAATTGTGACCAACGCTCTTGTAAATACTAAGATATTATTACAAATATAAAAGCACACAGTACAATAAAAATAAAATTTATATATTATATAAATAAATATATTATATAAATTAATTAAATTATTAACTTAATTATTAATTAAATTATATAAATATATATATGTATTTATTTATATACTACGCACACACATAATAATAATAATTTTTTAATGTCAATGATTGAGTTTTAACGCGCTGAACAACAACAGCAACAACAAACAAGCAACACAATAATAATAATAATCACAGTAACAACATTAATAATAACAACAATAACAGTAATAATAATAATAATAGTCAATGATAATATTATCAGCAACGGCAATAATAACAAAAACAGTAAAAATAATTATATGCAGGTGTGTAAGTGCTTGTGTGTGTTTTGTGCATAAAAAATATAAATGCATATGAAGAAGGGAGGAGGAAGAGAGAAAGAAAGGCAGAAAGAAAGAAAAACAGAGATGGCAAAAAAGAGTGAGAGGTGGAAGAAAAGAGAGAGAGTGAGTGAGTTAGAGAGAGAGAGAGAGAGAGAGAGAGAGAGAAGCTACTACGAAGTAGATTAGTTATAAATTGATAGAGTAAATTAGTGACCTATTTACTAACATCAACATTTGTAAGGAAGATATTTATTTGCATTAATGTTCCATCATGCTATCTAACTATCCGCCATCATCCCAATAAATATTTCTGTCGGAGAAGCTTGTACAACGTAAACCTTTCATCTTATTTTCCCTCTTTGCATTTCTCTCTCTCTCTCTCTTTTTCTCTCTCTTTCTCTTTGTCTATTGGTCTTTGTCTTTCTTTTTCTCTATCTTTTTATCCCTTTCTCTCTCTTTCTCTCTCTCTTTTCTCTCTCTCTCTTAAATAGTTCTTTTTTAAAATCCAAAGTCCGCCAAAGCATTTGGTAGAAATGAACTTGCAGAAATTTATTATTATTTATATTGTTTCTGTCTGTAACTATTTATTATTATTGCCATTATTACCATTATCATAATTTATTATTATTATTATTATTATTATTATTACATACTTTTTCTTACTTGAGCACATCAGACGTTAACAAGATGGGTGAACGAAGGAACGAACGAACGAATGAATGAAAGAATGAATAATTGGATGAATAGATAAAAACATAATCAATATACAAATGAATGAATAAATGAATGAACGAACAAACGAACGAATGAATAAATAAATGAATGAAAGAACAATTGAACGAATGAGCATACAAAACACATACTCAGGTGTCAATACGCAGACGCAAATTACCAAGATGTGCTGAGATTTTTGTTTTGAGAGAGAGAGAGAGAGAAAAAAAAAAAAGAAGGGAGAGGAAAAAGAAGAAGAAAGAGAAAAAGAGAAAGAGAGAGAGATGAAGAGGAAACGAATGAAAAAAGACAACGAAAAAAATGTAAAAAAGCCTTTCAAGATAAACGTATAAAAACAAAATATTAAATTGATAAAGATAAAAAAAAAAGAGAGATAGATAGAGGGGAAATAAGAGAGAGAGAGAGAGATAGATAAAAAGGAAATAAAAGAGAGAGAGAGAAAGAGAGAGAGAGAAAAAGAGAGAGAGAGAAGTAAAATTGAAAAGGAATAAATTAGAGTTTCTTTTATATGAGTTTGAGTTTCTAAACGCAAAGCCCCTAACAAGAGATAAGAAATAAATACCGCAGGAAATATTATTGAGGATGATGACGACGACGACGACGACGATGACGTAACGACAACAATAATCATAAAATAATAATAAAAGTAACATGTTGTGCAGAACACAATAGGAATAATAAAAAAGAGTAAAATTAGGTGCTTGGATGAAATTATCAATTAACAAAGATCTAGACGATTTCAATTTTATTCATTTATTTATTGGTTCAGTCAATTATTGGTTTGATTTTATATATATATATATATATATATATATATATATATATATATATATATAATTATTATTTTGAAATCCTGCGTCGTGCCTGTTTAGGTGATATAAAGGACGAATGCCGGCAACACCGTCTGCGGTGGTTTGGTCATGTCAAACGAAGTGGAAACAGTGCCATAACTTCTCTGGCAGATGTTGAAGTACCTGGCACACGTCCCAAAGGCCGTCCAAAGAAGCCCTGGTCGCATCAATCGAGCAAGACATGAAAGCTCTAAATTTAAATGAAATGGATACAACTGATCGTCTAATTTGGCGCTAAAAGTTGATGGCAAAGAAACAACGTCCTACCTCTGGAAACCGGGTCTCGAAGAAAACGAAGATTGATTGATTGATTGATTGATATAATTATTATATTTATTGCACATGCACAAAACCAAATGAAATAAGTCAACAAATGTAAATGATTGAATTAATGATCGAACGAATGAACGAATGAAAGAATGAACGAACGAACAAACAAACAAATAAATGATTGAATGTATAAATAAACAAAAAATTTTAAATTGATCAATGCCAACAATTCGGTAGAATTCATACAATACCTACTATATATATATATATATATATATATATATATATATATATATGTTGGTAATAGACCATAATTTTTACAAATTCTACCGAATTCGGTAGAATTTATAGAATATTGTAATATATATATATATATATATATATATACATATAAATATATATATTGTATGTACACATATTAATTTCCTAAGATGTTTGAAATAAATCATAAAGCCAATCATATTGGATTGAAATGAGCGTTTTGTTTGTCAATATATTATGTATCAATCTACCAATAATAATAAATATGTAGGTATGTATATATATATATATATATATACATGTGTGTGTGTGTTGTGTGTGTTGTGTGTGTGTGTTGTGTGTGCGTGTGCGCGCGTGTGTGCGTGCAACTTTTAATGTAGATCGATGAAGTTTACAGATTTAACCGACATAAGATATTTTTAATTCCGTTACCATAGTTTGTTGTGTTATATTATTTTTTTTATTATCCAATTATAACTATTATTATTATTTTGTTATTATTATTGTTATTATTTAGTTGGTTTTGTAGCTACGGTTGGGGTCGGCGGCATACTGAAACCATGCCCGACTTTATTTATAGCACTGTCTGGGAATTCCACTTTTGTCTGATCAGCGGCAACGGCAACTGTGACGACTTTCTTTGGACTTTTATCCAGCTCCTTGCTAAATATCATGTCTACGTAATTCGGTGGTAGCTCCCATGGCGTCATGTTGTTCAGCGTGAGTGACGACTGTGTGACGTTGTTGTTCAGAGTTTTCAGGCTGTTGTTTATAAGATCGTAGTCGTCGTCTTCCTTGCCAGTTTGATCTTTTTGACTTTCCATGTAGCGCTTCAACTGGTTTGTCGTCGTCGGTAGTGTCGCCAGCTTGACTTGCTGCAGCAGCTGGTGATGATTATGATGCAAAAGAAGTTGGTCGTGCTGATGATTATGATGATGATAGTGGTGGTGGTGATGATGGTGGGGATGATGTTTGTTTTGAAGTAAAAGATGGTGATTAGGTTTTTGATCTTTGCTCAGTGAAGATAGCGATGATGTTGCTTTTGGATTGTTGACGCTGCTGGCGGCCACTGGATCCGCACTGTTGCTAGTATCGCTGTACCTGTTACTGCTGCTATCATTCTCCTTATTAAGGTTGCTACTTTTACCGTTGTCATTGTTGTTATTCACAGATTTTTTGTTGCTAGATGTTGACGTGTTCCAGAACTTTCTGCCGGGTCGAAGTTGAGCTAGTTTTGCGACTAATTTTTTGACGCTATCCGCGCTGCTACTTCGCTGCTTCGCGTCAGCCGTAATCAGCTGAGTGAGTTTAATTTGAGGTGATGATGTTATCGTGTTCATTGAGAGAAGCGTAGTAGTCGTAGATGTCGCCGCCGTTTCTGTCGTCGCCATACTCGAGAAAAACTTTTTATCTTTTTTCCAGTTGGCCAGCAGAGAACAGCTGACATAATCGCGATGACTATCTGGAGATGAGGATCGGAAGTTGCGCGACTTTTGCAGCTGCTGATTGAGTCGTAGTAGTGGCGAGGTTTTTTTCTGTTGCTGCTGCAGGCTGTCTATGTCGTCGTCGAAGAATAATTTATAGTTGTTGTCGTTGTTGAGATTGTTGTTGTATTTTGATGTTGTCGTTGTTGCGGAAGTTGTAGTAGAGGAAGACAAAGATGATGATGCTGATGGTGGTGGTGGTGGTTGAGCGCGCGTGAAGTTGGTATCGCGTGTGGCTCCGTACTTTGGAATGTCATGTACGACTGTGCGGTTTGGAGGCGCCTGGAAAAATATTTTTTACGTAATCAAAAAAAAAAAATTGTAACCGGACTTCTCCACGCACGAACTTCTCATTTTTCTTCATGAAAAATTTATTTTTCTAAACTTTTTAAATTAATTTTTATTCTAATCAAAAAATAAAATGTTCGAGAACCTGAAAAAATTCTCTGTCCTGCTGATAAAGATTATTCATGAGACGGAGCCGGTTCTTATAGACGTCGATGCCTTCCTCTCCATCAAAAGAAAGCATTACTGACGGCGGGAGCATATCTTTAGACTTGTTTGGTTGCTGGTGATGTTGCACTTGCTGTTGCTGAGGCCGTTGTGGTTGCTTCTGATTGTCTATAGTCGGTCGTTTCGGTAGAAGTTCATTTTCTTTGCGGTTTGGGTGTTTTTGTTCGCTGATGTTGGAGTGTTGTGGCTGTTTTTGTTGTTTGCTAGAGCATTGTTGTTGTTGTTGTTGTTGCGACATTAATAAAGGTTGTTGTTCAGTGTTGTGCTCCATTTGATGTTTCCGTACGGAACTCGTTCGTTGCGACAATTTAGAAAGTTCTAAAAATTTAGACACGGCATCATCAATTTCATTATACTCACTTTGTCGTTTTGCATTTTTTGGTTGATGTTTTTGCTGTTGTTGTTGTTGTTGTTGTTGTTGTTGTTTAAACTGTCGCATGTCAAATAAAGAGAATAACAATGGCTGCTTTTTAGATTTGCCACTATCGACGTCAACACCGTCTGGCTCAAAATCATTTCCAAATTTGGTAGAACAACCCCGTAAAATGTTTTGTTGTTGCTGCTGTTGTTGGTTATCAAAATTTTGCATGGCAGTCTTTGCATGCCTGTGTGTGTGTGTGTGTATTTGTCTCTATGTATGCCTGTCTCTTTAGGCGTGTGTATGCGTGTCTGTGTGTGTGAGTGTATATGTACGTTTTTGTACACTTGGCTTTTATTATTTTTCCTCTTTCTTTCTCTTCCTCTTCTCTCTATCAGCTGCCTGTAGCTTCGTGCTTCACAAATATTTTCATCTATTGTAATGGGAGAATGAATATTGCTTAGACGTTGATAATTATATTATAAATATAATTATAATTATTTTAAAATAATTATAATTTTAATAATTATAATTATTTTAAAAATTATAGTCGAGATTGTGATTGTAGATCAAGAGAATGATATTTGGAATGATATTTGAGAGTGTGTGTTTGAAAATAAGTTCACACATGATACAAACTTCTTTACATACACATAAAGTATATACGTATGTACCAAATACACACAAAATTTCATAGATACATACATACATGCATACATACATACATGCATACATACATGCATGCAGACATACATGCATAGGTACGTAAATACAAACATACATAGCGCCATACAATTACACACACACGTACATACATACATGCATGCATACATACGAGCGTATGACATACAAAACACGATCTTAAGTTGAAGGACAACATGTAAGCCTTATATCTAAGCCGGTAAATGTCTATGTCTATGCTACCAACACCAGACATATACATACAGAACACTTACATACATTCACATGTATACATACACACTATAAGCATGCATACATACATACATACATACTTATACAATCATACATATATGCAGACATCCATGCACATGCACACATATAGACATGCACACACACAAATACACACAGACATACATACATACTTCTGGTGCGGAAGAACAGACAGCAAACACAAACAAGCCTCTATTGACATAACACGATTGTACACTTGCTGGTATTGCTTACGTTTGTATGTGAATGTATGTATTTTTGTGTATGTATTTCTATGTACATAAGTATGTTTGTATGTATGCATGTATGTATGTACGTGTTAGTATGTAAGGATGAATGGTTGTAGATATGAATCTATATAGGAATGCGATTGCATATACGTTCATATAAATGGTTTTAAATAAGTGTTTTATAAACACATACAAACATACATACATACATACAAAACACACAAAAATACAAATACGTACACACACACAAACATACATACCCACACGTACATACATACACACACACGTACATACATATATATATATATATATTGGGGTTCGTAAACATAAATACAGCAACATTAGCGTGGAGATTATCGCTGGATGTGTGTGTGGGGCAGGAAGCACATTGCTGAAATATTTTTACAAGAACACATGGTTATATGAGGCTAGAAATAATACAGTTATATATATATATATATATATATATATATATATATATGTGTGTGTATGGCTTTGTATGTGTGTGTGTGTATAGCTGTGTAGGTGTGTATGTATATAGCTGTGTATGTGTGTGTATGTGTATGGCTGTGTATGTGTGCGTATGTGTATGGCTGTGTATGTGTGCGTATGTACTTATTATACATGTACGTGTGTGCGTGATGATCAGTATATATATAGTAATAAAAAAATTGATAATTCAAAGGAAGATGAATATTGATTTTGCTTCAAAATACGTCGGAATCAACCTATTTAATTCTGCCTCCGTCAATAATTTCATTGAAATTACCATCACGTACGTGTGTGTGTGTGTATGCGAGTGTTTGTATGTATGTGAGTGTGTTTGTGAATGTATGTGAAGAATGTATGTGTATGCCTGTACCAGTAACCAAAAAAAAATACAGAAAAAAATTTGAAAAAATAAATTTTCTCTTCTCGGTAATCAGTAATTTTCATCAAACCAACTGAAATAATACAAAAATAACTCTGCTGTTGTTGTTGATAACTCGGTATGTATAAGGTACCTGCATTGTTGTATAATAATACATACATACAAGATGGTTAAGTTGTCTTAGACACTCTTGACTGTAGTAGTGTTAAAGCATTGTAACTGCACGGTTTAAATACCAAGTAAAAATTTGCAATTGTCAATAGCGATTAGTTGCAAACATTAATAGCGTGTAACAGCTAACAGTAACCATTCAAAGAACTGGCAGTGATTAGTACTAGTCCGGCACACGCCTGTGCAATGGCGGGTTATATGCGTGTATGCAAATAAACATTGATGCTTCTTGCTTCGAGAAGCAGACATCGGGGATGTTAATATCTTTTAAAGTCTGGCTTGCTGAAAAATAAAAGCAACTACACATTAGCAACAAAGACTACAAGTCCATAGTCATCGTTAACAAGAAAGCAGCTGAAAAGGTAGCAGCAGCAATAGCTACTACAACTGCAACAACCGCGACCACGATTGCTTTCTTCAAAAAACCTGTAGTAAATGTGTGTGGCCCTGGCTGTCTGTGTAGTAGTCATACGTCATCATCGTCGTACACACACATACACACACAAACACAAACACACACATACACACACACACATACACACGAACAAGCACACACATTATATATTTATACACATATACATGCATAGGTAGGTAGGTGAGCAAGCAGTAACGAATAGTGGCACCTGTACGAAAATTTTTTTTAGTTTTTGGGTCCTGTTGCTTTTGAAGCCAGCAGCTATATGTAATACATATATTGTATATGTATATATATATATGTACGTGTGTTTGTATGTGTGTGTGTGTGTTTGTATATGTGTGTGTGTTTGTGTGTGTATATGTGTAATAATGTAGCACAGTAACAGAAAATTTAGCAGCACAAATGATCGAGTTATAATATCTGAGAGTTAACTATCAAATCTGAATCTGTCCACACACAATTGTATTCATCAAACAAATTTCATTATAATCTTTCGATCTGGCGACGAACTGGTGTAATGGTTAAAGTGTCGGGTTACGATGTTTTAATGACACCGGATTCGAATGCAAATAGATCCTCGCCAATTACATTGCATGCAATGTCTTTGCGTGTGTCGGTAGCTTGGATGCGCGCGTGTTAGCTTGCTGATGCCTCTGAAAATTATTTCTGAAAATAATTAATCATAATAAATAACAAAATAACAACAATAATAAAAAATAATATTAGTAATAAAAAGAATAACAATAACAAAAATAGGACGAAAAAAATTGGCGTTCGGTGAGTTTTTTTCTAAACTAAAATGATAGACTAAGAAAGAAAAATATGAAATGTCTATACCATCCTGGAGCGGGTTGATGAATTGCTGACAATGCAAATAAATCGTTAGAAGTCGTTATGTATGTGTATATGTATGTGTGTGCGTGCGTGCGTGTGTGTGTACATTGTACGTGAATTTCGTATGTGTGTACGTACGTATGTATGTATGTGTGTGTGTATGTATGTATGTGTGTGTGTATGCGTGTGTGTGTGGGTGTACGTACCGATGTATAGTATGTAGAAAAAGGCAATTGAAATAAATAACCAAAATACTTTTCTTCATTTTTAGCCCACACAAAATGGCAGAATTAATTTTTTTTCATGTTTAAACCTAACAAGCATTAGTTATGTTCAGTCCATCCGGATTCTTTTGTTGAAATTGTTATATTTTTGAATCATTTTGAAGCTTAAAGATAGAAACATATATTTGTATATAAGTGTATGTATGTAGGTATGTATGTATGTGTATGTATGTGTGTGAGTGTGTATGCGTATGTATGTGTGTGTGTATGCCTATGTGGCTAGATGCACATATAAACATCTATTCACCCAAACTTAGCAAAAAATAACTTTCATCAAATTTAGTCAGCCAAGCACATAACTCATGGTTCAAAGGAAATTGTTTTTTATGTATGTGTGTGGATGAATGTGCGTGCACATGTATGTGGTTAAAGACATACGTATGTGTGTATGTATGTATTTCAATGTGTGTGTTTGTGTGTATGTCTGTTTGTGAGTATGCCTGTGTGATTATAGGCATGTATAAACATCAATGTATGTGTATGTTTGTATGTGTATGTGTTTTTTTATGTGTTTTTGTGTGTGTGCGTGTGTGTGGTGCGTGCGTGTAATGATTCTTCTTTCCTGATATTTCATCAGCGTTCATTTTTACTAGTGATAAGATAGAAACATTGAAAGATGAGACGGATGAAAAACATATAGAAAAGAAATAACGAAAATTAAAAAAAAGATGAGAGAGAGAAAGAGAAAAAGAAATAGAGACAAGTGAGAGAAACAGAGAGAAAGTAAGTGAGAGAGAGAGAGAGGAGAGAGAGAGTACAAAAATTAATAGAGATATTAGTAACCTCAAATTCACACTATAGCTGAAAAGTGCAAACAAACTATTACTCCATCTAAAGAGATAAAAATACACACACACACGTATGAATAAGACGTACCCGCGCACACACGCACACAAACACACGCACACAAACACACACACGTAGTACAAGTGTATAAGCGCGAATCAGCGCATCATACATTTTATACATTGCGTGGGATCATCATGCGTTTGAAACCCACAACTGCGACACCAGGGCCAGGGTTAGTAGTATTGAAGATAGGGATAATAAGAATTACAATAAGAATAACAACAAAAATAATAATAACAATAATAATATAAATATAATAATAATTATTATTATAGTAATAATTATAGTTATTATTATATTTATTATGATTATAACCTACATAATGCATGAACCGATGTGTCCTATACAATGTCGGTATTGATCTTCATGTTACAATTAACATCCGTTCTATGTAATTTGGTTCATCATTGCTCTTTATTATTTTTACCATTATTATTATTATTATTATTATTAATTATTATTATTATTATTATTATTATTATTATTAATTATTATTATTATTATTTCCAAACATATTTGCATTTCTATGGTTTAGGAGATATATCGTTCGGCCCCTTACAACAACCATCTTAACGACAATGCTAAATTAATCTGGTATTTGCTGTCTGATACTTTGCTCATACACAGACAGACAGAGACAAACAAACAGACACCACACACACACACAGACACCACACACACACACACTTATACATACTTAGTCACACACTCATAATATGATAAATTATATCAACAGTTATATATTTTCCCATAACTTTTTTCTATTCAATCTAGTCGACTTTAATAACGTCAGAGGTTTGGGTTAGATAGCTGAGCCAGACAGAGACGATTATTTTCTCTTCTTCTTCTTCCTACTATTATTATCATCAATATTATTATTATTCTCTATGCGTGTGTGTGTGTGTGTGTGTGTTTGTATGTATATGCGCATGTATGTGTATGCGTACATTTGCTAAATATAGAAAGAGCAGGCAAAAAGATAAATTCAAAAATATGAAAAATTCAGTGATGGAACTGAATTTTAAATTAGAAAGATTAAAAGCCAGTCAGTCTCTCTCTCTATCTCATACCTTCCTATTACACTGCAAGCTCTGGTCGCGGGTATGCGACGGTGCAGATGTAACAAATGTAATTTGAACTGTAAGGTACTACGAACACTTACTTCGTTTCGTTTGAGTTCCGTTTCGTTTGAGTTTCACAACTTCTATAGCACAAAACTTTAATAACAGATTTAATAAGAGCGGTTTATAGTCACCCAAGTTACAAATGCATAATTAAAGGGAAAAATTTTGATAGTGTATTTAAGTAATTAAAACTTTATTAGTAAATAATTTCATCGAAATACTATCCATATGAAAAAAGTTCCGCTTGTTGTTGAGAATTATGATTGCCATTTAATTTTTTGATCCTCATCAGTTAAAACCTTTTGGGCAAACATTGTTGAATGTCTTTCTACAAATTGTTTAAAACGTCATAATTTGTTATGAGATTCAGAATTTGTATTACCTCTTTTTTAAGTTTTACAATACATCTTCATACTTTTCAAAGTTGCGTTTTTTCATTGGCGTGATCTGTGAACTTTCGCTTAATTAGTTTTCAGTATTTTTAATTTGTAGAAATTCAATCAGCACCAACTCAATGAAATTTAACATTTTTCTTAGTTGTATAATGTTTTGATGGATAGCTAAACTTATGAAACAAAATTTTATGCCACTAATATTATGAAAAATTACGATCACATTTAACATTTGTTTGTAAAATGGTAAGAACCGTGAACAGGTAAATACATCAGATCCTGCTTATTGTAGATCGTAAAACCCAAGAACTAACAAAGTTGTAAATAATGTAGGAAAGTTTATAGCTTGTAAAGAATATCCAAGAATAATTGTATTTAGAGTTGTAATCTTTGTTGATGCTAATATAAATAGATTTGGTCATCGAGAATTTTGTCAAATTTTATTAATAGTCTAGTCGTTATCTGAGTATCAGCTTACCGATTTTTCAAATAGTCGTCATTCAAACTGGTTAAAAATAAATAGGAAGAATGGACGGGAGCTCGAAAATAAAATTGTTTGCGAAAAAAATTGTCGATCGCTATCTGCATAAGTTTGAAATGAGGATGGTTAAGATGCAGTCAGACATCCTTGAGGGTTTT